TTGGCATTGTTATTGTACATATAGTAGTGATAATTTATTATTATCTTATTAAGTGTATATATTCTTTCTATATATATATTACATACATAGATGAAGATAGATATATTTTTGTGGTGCTGGGGATTGAATCCAGGGCCTTGCACATACTAAGCAAAAGCCATACAATTAAGCTATCTCTTTAGCCCTATTTTTAATATTATGTTTTATTAATTTATTATTCCCATAACATAAAATTCACTTTTAAAATACAAATTCACCCACTCCGCCCCCTCCCTTCGCCCCCCCACCCCCTCAATACCCAGCAGAAACTATTTTGCCCTTATTTCTAATTTTGTTGTAGAGAGAGTATAAGCTATAATAGGAAGGAACAAGAGTTTTTGCTGGTTGAGATAAGGATAGCTATACAGGGCATTGACTCACATTGATTTCCTGTGCATGTGTGTTACCTTCTAGGTTAATTCTTTTTGATCTCACCTTTTCTCTAGTTCCTGGTCCCCTTTTCCTATTGGCCTCAGTTGCTTTTAAGGTATATGCTTTAGTTTCTCTGCGTTAAGGGCAACAAATGCTAGCTAATTTTTTAGTTGTCTTACCTATCCTCACCCCTCCCTTGTGTGCTCTTGCTTTTATCATGTGCTCAAAGTCCAATCCCATTGTTGTGTTTGCCCTTGATCTAATGTCCACATATGAGGGAGAACATATGATTTTTGGTCTTTTGGGCCAGGCTAACCTCACTCAGAATGATGTAACACAGGTTATTCCAGAGGCACCTGCCACCCATGTTTATTGCAGCACTATTCACAATATCAAGTTATGGAAACAACCAAGATGCCCTACTACTGATGAATGGATCAAGAAAATGTGGTACTTGTACACAATGGAATTTTACTCAGCCGTGAAGAAGAATGAAATCTTATCATTCTCAAGTAAATGAATGGAACTGGAGAACATCATTCTGAGTAAGGTTAGCCAGGCTCAGAAGATCAAAAATCATATGTTCTCCCTCCTATGCGAACTTTAGATCTAGGGCAAATACAGCAATGTTGTTGGACTTGGGTCACATGACAAGGAGAGAGCACATACGGGAGGTATGGAAATAGGTAGTAAACCCAAAACATGAAATCATTTGATGTCCCCACTCCAGAGGAACTAATACAGAAATCTTAACGAGAAGGGGATCAGAAACCAGTGTAAAGATCAATTAGGGATGACTCAATTTGGGTTGTAACACATTGTACATGGAAGCAATGCTAGGACTCTCTCTGTATAGGTATCTTTAACTCAACTAGCAAAAACACTTTGTCTTTCTTATTATGCTTATGTCTTCTCTTCAACAAAATTAGAGATAAGGGCAGAACAGGTTCTGCCTGGAAGCGTGGTGGGGAGAGGGGGAGACGGTGATGGCAGGGGGCAGGGGGGAGAAATGACCCAAACAATGTATGCACATGTGAATAAATAAATTTTTAAAAAAAAGTTGTTTTAGTACTCACTCTAGTGATAATGAGTGTAACTCATTAGAGTCTACTAGCATTATTACTTTTTACCACTTAAAGTGGAATATAGGCTGGTGGTGTAGCTCTGTGATAGCACATGCTTAGCACACGTGAGGTCCTGGGTTCAATCCCTGGCATCAAAATAAATAAACAGAATAAATACAATCAAATGGATTCTAGAAACCTTACCATTTAGATTGGCTTTCATTCTATGATACAGTGCTAATTTTTTCTTTCAACCATGAAATGTGATTTTTAGAACTTCAATTAGTCTATCATTTCATTGTACTTTCTTCATTCCTAGGTTTCCAACTTTCTTTCTAGTACCACTTCCCTTCTTTCCTGAAGGAAAATTCTTTTACAGCAGAGCTGGTGATAAATTCTGTTGTTTTCCTTCATTTGGAAAATGACTTGATTTCACCTTCATTCCTGAAGGGTATTCTTGTTAGATAGGCACTGGCATTGAATTCAAGGCCTCACACTTGCCAGGAAGGTGCCATAACACTTGAGCCACTCCACCAGCCCTTTTTTGTGTTGGGTATTTTTGATAGGGTCTCATGAATTATTTATATTTACCCAGGCTGGCTTTGAACCACAATCCTCCTGATCTCTGCCTCCAGAGTAGCCAGGATTATAGGTGTAAGCCACCTGCACCTGGCTTGTTCTTTTCCACCACTTAAATGTGCTACTTCCTTCTCACCATCATGGTTTCTATAATATGGTATTATTTAAAATAATTATTTTCCTATAGGAAATATGTCATTTCTCTGTGGCTATTTTCAGTATCCTTGTATTTATTAGAAATTTGATTAAGAAATGTTTGGATGCCACTTTCTCTGGGATTTTTCTTATGGTTTGCTGGGCTTCTATGTAGCTTTGTCTTTCACCAGTATTCTTCAAATGCTTTTTTGGTCTTGCACTTTCCCCTTTTACTTAAATATTAGTTTCTTATTACCCAATAGGTCCCTGAGGCTTTTTTCATTTTTTCTTTAATTTAGTCTCTCTCTGCTGTTCAGATTGGGTAATTTCTACTTATCCACCTTCCAGTTCACTGACTGTTTTCTTTTCATCTACGTAATACTGAGTCTACTCAATGAGTTTGTTACTATATTTCAGTTCTAAAATTTCCATTAAATTCCTTTCTACATCTTCACTGAAGCTTTCTTTCAGTTCATTTTAGGAGTATTCACTGTTATCTTGGAAATTTTTTTATAATTGCTACTTTCAAATCTGTCAGATAATCCATCTTTTTAGAATAGGCTAATTCTCCTTACGCATACATGTTAGGTGACATTTTGAGTATGTGAATTTCTGAGCATTTTATCTTATGTAGAATCTTTTTTTTTTTTTTTTGGCAGTACTGGGGTTTGAACTAAAGAGCCTCACGCTTGCTAGGCAGGCACTCTACCACTTGAGCCATAACACCAGTCCAGAATCTTAATTTTAAAATTTATTTTTATTTACTTTTTAGCAGGCAACCAGTCGCATTGGATTCAGGCCACGAGTTCCAAGTAGCACATTGTGGGTTTGTTTCCAGTGTCAGTTCAGCACCTTTATAGCTATTGGGATTTGTCTCCTGTGCACATAACCCAGAGGATTTGGCTGGTCGCAGTTCACTTCTCAGTAAACATACACTGTTTAGAGTCAGCCACACATGCACTGAGGGTGAGAAGGTACTCATAGCAACTTTAAGAACTCACTCTCCCAAGTTTCTTCCTCTCCTCAATCTCATTACTTTCTGGTTCCCTGGGGCTCACCTTGCAGTCCTCCAGCTACAAACTGGAGCTTTAGTTACCCTACTATGCTGCCCACTTTTAACAAATATGACTATACCCTTGTGAAACACTGGGGGGAAGAGTGAAAAAAAGAATGGGCATTTGTTTTACTCTGTTGAAACCACAGCTTCTCCAATGGGTGAGAAAGATTCCCCTTCCTCAGAGTTTTGGTTTTCTTTACAGGCTTTCCTTTAATCCAGTGGAAAGTAACTTTTTCTTATTAGTACCTTCCAGAATCCTTTATAACACCTGATCAAATCTTCTTTCCCCAATAACTATTCCAATGAACGGTAAGGATTTATGCTGAATGTCTGTGTAAGTATTACTAAACTTTAATGACAATGAACAAACAAAAAGTTAAAGAAATTCTATGCTTAACCAATAAATTGCTGCAACTTTTGTAGCTACCGGTGTTCCTCAACTTTGAAACATACCATTTTTTAAGAAATACAGAAAAGCTTGATTATAATGGAAATAACATACAGAATGCTCTGGCTTTTGCTCTTGAGGATTCTTTAGAAAGTTAAACTCTGGATAGCATTAGATTGCAGCAACTATAGCTCAGGACATTACGGAAAAAGATTTAGATGATAGAATCAGTTACAGTGTGGAATACATTTCAACCCAGCCTTCCAATGGAGGTAATCCATCAGATGCAAGAGTTGGATGATAAACTGACACAAATCTCAGCAATAACAAACTAAGGTAAAATGAATAAACAACATTGACGTTACTGAGGTAGCAAAAGTATGTTCTGGTTTGATAAGAATATAGCAATAATGCTGAGAGGTCAATAAGATCAGAAGACAGTACCTTCAGATAAAGAGAATGAGAAATAATCTGATTCAAGAAATGTACTTCACTGTGATGACAAGCAAATTGGAAAAAAGCAGGTTAAAAGTATTTTTAAATAGTTCAGGATAAAGAAAATATTTCGTAATAGCTAGGCAGGCACTCTACCACTTGAACCACTCCAACAGCCTCCTAGCATGGAAATTCTATGAACAGAGAAAATGCAGAGATGGATTAACATGGATATAAGGTTCTGGAAAAGGTCTGCATAAGTAACTTATGCTCATTTAACCCCACTACCCATTTTGTTTCTTTTTTCTTTTGTACTATTGAGATTGAACCCAGGAGCTGTCACTTTAGCTATACCCCTAGCCCTTTTGTTTGTATTTTGTTTTTGAGATAGGGTCTAACTTTGTCTGTGTTGGTACAAAAGTGTACCACCACACTCACCTACTTTTTTTCTTTTTTGACAATACTGAATTTTGAAATCAGGGCCCTGTGCTTGCTATACTGGAGCTGTATTACTTGAGTCATGCCCCCAGTCCTTTTTTTTGAAAAAGTCTGGAACTTTTTCCCTGGGCTAGCCTCAGGTTGCAATACTCCTGTGAATCCCACATAGCTAGGGTTACAGGCAAGTATCACACCTTTGTTTTTTGTTTTTTTTTTTTTAACTATGGAACACTTCACGAATTTGCATGTCATCCTTGCGCAAGGGCCATGCTAATCTTCTCTGTATCGTTCCAGTTTTAGTATATGTGCTGCCGAAGCAAGCACAAGTATCACACCTTTTTTATGGGTTGAGTTTTGCTTTTTGTTTTTTGGCAGTACTGCAGTTTGAACTCAGAGCTTTGCACTTGGTAGGCAGACAATCTACCACTTGAGCCATGCCCTTAGCCCCTTTCTTATGGGTTGAGATGGGGTCTAAATTGTTTTTTTTTTTTTGCTGGGTCTGGCCAGCAAAAAAAAAAGAGATTGATCCTCCCAATCTCTGCCTCTTGAGTAGCTGAAATAACAGGCATGAGCCACCATACTTGGCTCTTCTACTTCTTAAAAGCAACAAAATTACAGAAACTTTAGCTCAAGGATTCACATTTATACAATGCTACCTCTAAAGGGCAGAACACCACCAATCTAAAGTGAAATGTCCCATATCTCTTCCTTGAGGGATACTGTGATTTGTAAAAGGACTGAAAAATACAAGAAAAGAAAGAACAAACTTGGGATTGGGGGGTGTAGTCCAGTGACAAAGCACTTGCCTAGCATGCACAGGCTCTTGATTTCCATCAGCACCACAAAAAATACAAACAAAATAAACAAACAAAAAAACCCCATAAAAACAAAAGAGAACTTTATAGTGTAAGTTCGTTTTAGTATGAACATTAATGCAATATCTATCTTGATACTTTCATTCAGATAAAAAACGATGGCAGATGATGGCGTAAAGCTAATTTGATTACAATTTTATAAGCTATTTTCAAAAGTGAAAATAGAAGGCTTTTAAAAATAGCTTAAAAGGTAATGTGTCATAGTGTGATGTTTCTGTAATGGTTGGTAAGGCTTACATCTAAATTTGATGCATTGAAACAGTTCTTTTCTCAGCCACAGGCTATGCATCTGGAAGAGTCTGGCTACGGGTACCACTTCTTGTCTTCAGCTGTGACTGTGCAATGTCAGCAAGTGCACTTTGGATCTTTTCCAGAAGCATGTCTCCTCGATAAACCACATCCTCCAGACATGTAGCAGCTTCATGGTTTTCTTCTTCTAGCTTATATAAGCTAGCTGCCTTTACAAAACACAAAACATAAAATCAGCAGAGATGAGGATACAAACTGCAGCAGAGATATTTACTTTTAAATCTAGATGATTTTGCAACCATTGTATTTTATTTTCCAGTAACAGGAATTGTAAAAAAATCAAATAACTAAAGAATTGTCCCTATATAAATTATTAAAACAATGGATTTTCAATTAGAAACACCTAAGTATCTATATGTGGTTTTCTTCCACAGTGCTTTTGACACTTATTTTAATTCCAGTGCCACCCTGTGCTAGGAAAAAAAACTAAGGAACATAGGCTTTCTTATAAATTGAAATTGGATAACTATTCAGGGAACTCAGTTTTCTATTACTAGCAATATTCTCATAAGAGATTTTTACCTGTAAAGCAGCTGTAGATTCTTCACTGGGTAAGGAATCGATCAAAACATCAATGTCTTTTGCTGTTCGTGCAATCAATGCTGCGAAAAGCTGAGCATACTCTAGAGAACAATGACTCAATCAGGATATCAGAGAATCTCAAGTTTTCAGAAATAAAAATTAAATTTAAGTTAATAGAACCAGAAAAGTTCATTTACCTTTTCTGTACTATGATTCTAGTGATTAAAGTATAAAAACTAAAGATAAAATTTTAGCACCAACCTATCACACATTTAACTTCATATTAGTTCAAAATGGGAATTAAGCATAATGTATCATTTTATTTATTAGGACAATATGGTAGTCACTTGAACAAAGGAATTTATAAATGGGATGCCTTCCTTAGGTCCTGCAAGTGAAATTCAGCTAGACTCACACAAGCTCTCCTCTAAAGGACTACCAATCTCTTATTTGTCATGAACAGAATTATGAGATGTATGAAAAAGCTCATTTATTTTATGACAAACAAAACTTGTAGTAATACCTCCAAACAACAACATTTTTAGAAAGTATCCATAAATAAGCTGAATTTCTCAATAAATCTAATTATACAGGATTATAAGAAATGTCAGAGTCAAACCAACAAAAACTGAGAAAACCTATGTACCTTCTGTAGGATTAGCTGGCTGGTCTTTGTTAATTCCTGTTTGAATGTTATTAAAAGAAGCAGGAGGACCACATTGTTGTAACACTCCAATAGCATTACAAAACTGATCTGCAAGCTTGGGCCAAAGAAAATATGTCAAGGTTAGAAAAGATTTATGAATTTTAAGGATCTTATCAGTTATGACAACAACAATCATTGTTTATAATAATAACCTGTGTGAGCATGGGAATACTCCTCAGAGAAAGGAGTAATTTTGTGTAAAATAAAACAGTTATTATTAGCAACAGTTAATTTTTCAGTGATTTCCAGCACTAAACCCAGGGAACTGTATACACAAAACACACATTCTACCACTGGACTATATCCCATTCTGGATTAAATGTTTTAATCAAACAAAGAAACCAAGTTGGGATTCTAGATGATTGGTATCAATCTAACTGAAATAGTTAAACAAGAAATACAAAATAATATTATATTATATATATAATAATAATATTGTCAATACTTATTTCAAGCAACAAAGACTTTTTGGGGGTAGTGATAAGAGAAAAAAACATGTCACACACAAAGTATATGATTTCTTTTCTGACAACAGAGTAGTTACAGGTATAAAGAAACAGTAAGAAAATAACTGCTTAAAAAGTCACCTTAAGTAATCAGAAACATGTTTCTTTCAACTCAAGTTATAATCTTCTGTTTATATATAATACATATTCAAATATATTCTTTAAGCAGTTTTGAAGACTGAGACTATAATTTATCTCCAAACTAAACAAACCTATGCTTCCCCACCTACTTCTCTCACTACTCCTGACCCCTCAAACCTCAATTCCTATTTCCAATCAGTGAATAGCATTGCTATTTTCTGTACCATTATTTCAATGACAGAACTCAAAGTCAACTGTTTCCTGTTAAATATCTAATTTGTATTAAGTCTGCTAGTCAAGTCTAACTGTAGATTCTTACTTTCCACTCATCTTCAAATCTGGTTAATACTACCTTTCATCATTATTGCTGCTGCCTTAGTTATCTCAAAGTTACTATTAAAAACTCCCTTATATTGTAGCTCACCACATTATTTTACCCTGTTCAAAGTGGGCACCTGTAATGACACCTGTAATCCTAGCTACTTGGGAGGCAGAGATCAAGAGGATCACAGTTTCAGGCCAGCCTGGGCAAACAGTTCAAAAGACCTACCCATATAAAAAGAGCTGATGGAGTGGCTTAAGTGGTAGGGAGTCTGCCTAGCAAGCATGAGGCCCTAAGTTCAAATTCCAGTACCACCAATAAATAAATAAGTAAGGATAAAATCTTCGACTTCCAGGCTGTTTGAAAGCTTTCAATAATCTAAGTCAACTCTTACAAATTTTTCATTTCTCCTTCATAATTATCTGACTAACCATAAATTCACTTATGTCTAAACGGGTCTGCTACAGTTTCACTGCTTGTGATGGAGTAATAAATGCTCAGAAGCAACACAAACTCAGATTCTCATTCTGGTTCTACTAACCTGAGTAGCTTTGTTTCATTTTAAAATTGGAACATTCCATCTTACAGCACTGTCATGAAAAAGAAAAAATGCAAACAAAAACTATTCAGCACAGAATCTACCTGTTCTGTCCTGCAACATCTTTCAAGATCCATGTGTTCAAAATGAACAAACAGATTTTTTGAAAAATCTATCCCAAGTATTGTATATATAATACAGATATAGTGAACATGACATAACTTCTTCACATGGAGTTTTCAGATGATGGAACAAATGTTAATAGCTATAAAATAATAATGATTAGGGTAAGTGCTAAGAAGATCCCATTTTAGCTCATTTTGCCAAAAACACCCATTTCATTTTAACTCCCTAGTCATATCTGGGTTTTGCATCATTTAAATGTCTCTTGAGTATACGACATCTTTTTCATCTCCTTAAGGAGTATCTCTTTGTAAGTAATGATAGTGCTTATATACACAATAGGCTCTCATACTAGTTAACCTAAAGGCTTCTCTCCCAAATCCGATTATCAGCATTCCTATCCTAAATTAAGGCCATATTCACTGTATCCGTACTATCCTAGTTACAGGATTTGTATAACTATGCAAAAATTTCCCTAAAATAATATTTGTAACCCCCATAATTACAATTTGATTTGTAAAACCTCAAAGGAGTTATCCCCCTGAGAGAGTTAGCTGGCAGCCCAAACAGTCACTGCAAGGTAGTGTTTACCTCGGTGAATTAATCAATATTTAGAGGCTGGCTCTCAGCCTTAAAAGCTCCTATTTTATTTACATCAAGATCAATTTTTCACAAGTAGACTCAAATTCTTCAAGGGCACGCAGACTGGTGTATAAGCAGGAACACCAAGTTATTCGCTTCGCTTCTATTGAGGAAAAAAAAAAAACTGGCCAGATATCTAGGATTTTCAGTCAGCATATTCCTTCTATTGGCGCCTTACTTGGGACATTAAGTTACAATCAGAGTGACACTAAGAAATGTAACTACCAATAGAAATCTGCTTAATTCTTAACGGGAACAAGCAGGGTATCCCTTAATTAGCATGTACTTCCCACTCGGGCATAGTCAGCAGGAAAAGGGATAGTTAGGGGAGCCCCCTTACAAGGCCAGACCTTTAACACAGACAGACTGAGAAACATTAAAGACTTAAATAAATGGAAAGAAATTCGCAGAAGTTTCGCCGTCATAAAGACGTCAGTTCTCTCCAAACCGATACATGTTCGCTAGAGTAGCCAAGAGCCGCAACAAAACGCTTGGCCTCCGGGCACCGATGCCTCCCGTCTGTAATCCTGGCTATTCAGGAGGCAGAGATCAGAAGTTTCGGTTGGAAGTCAGACCCAGGGAAATAGTTCCCGAGACCCTACCTGGAAATTACCCAACACAAAAAAAAGGACTTGGTGGAGTGGCTCAAGTGGTAGAGCGCGCCTGCCTAGCAAGAGTGGGGCCCTGAGTTCAAGCCCCAGTGCCACCAAAAAACGAACAAAAATACAACACCCGGCCTACAGGAGCGAACAACGATGAAACAGAACATCTCACTCACCAGCTATCACTCCGCCGGAGCTGAGCATGATGGCGAAGCGATGCTCTTGGTTAGCAATAACTACAAAGACTCAAAAGTCAAGAGCACGCCGGGATCCGCTCGGCCGGCTGAGGTTGATGTGGAAAACAAACAAGCGAAGCTTCTGCTTCTCCTCCCAACCGACAGAACCAAGGAGACCCAGAAGCACCGCTGACAGGTCGGTCTTGGGACCAACGCAACCACGCAGCCTGCGGCCCGGGGTTTCCGCCCATACCACCGGGAAACGGCCTCTGGCGTACCGCCGCCGGGCCCAGGGCATTTGGCTGGGCATTTGGCTGACGCCCTTTGTCCGCTCTCCACTCCCGAGGCTTAACTCTCGGACCCCTCTCTTCCCAGCCTTTACATCTGGAAAGAGAAAGGCAGGAACTAATCGAATGAATTTACTCACCGAGTTCACTGCATCCTGCAGCTGCGTCAGCCTGTCCGCCATGTTCCTAGAACAAGCCAAAGCTGCTGCTAGCGCGCGATTGGACAGCTTTAGGACGCGTCACAGCCAATCAAAGAGCCGAGTTTTTGAAAAGGGTGGGGTCAGAGAGAACGCTCTGCCCCAGGAGGGGATGGGACTTTTCTGACGCTTTTTTCTTTAGACTTAGGCAAAGGATGGCTAGGCGGCTTGAGTGAGTCTGGGGTAGGTGGAGGTCCAGTCGCTTTGCGGTTAACTATTCAAGGTTGTTAGTTGTTCAGCACTTCACGGAGATTGTTGGGTTCTGTGGAGTGGGTTTGTGGTTCTTCCAATCCCCTGATCTATTTGGTTTTGATATTGTCTTGAATACTTATTTTCCAGGTCTACCACACAAAGCATAAACACGGCAAGCAGTTTACAAGTACTTGGGAGTCAAGATTGTATACTTGAAACTGAACAGATTGAAATTCACCAATCAGGAAAGCTGAATTAGGGCGTCTACTCTACTCTGTTACTTAGGGGCATGGGAAACTTACCGAAGTGGACTGAGTGCTTGCTTTAGTTTTGAGTGTTGATGTACTGGGGAAACTGATGCATAAGAAATGAAAATGTCAGAAACTAAGCATTAAAGTAGGCTATGCTGGGTACAGAGGACTCTGCAGGTAAAGGCGAGAAAGAGGAAGAAGCGCATTTGGAGTTATGAGGTAAGGTGTGAGCAGGTAACTAATAAGCCTCTTTTGTGAGGAATTTTATGTGAAGAACAAAAGGGTTAGTGGACAGGAAAATGAAGGATTCATGGTGTGTAATGGAAAGAGGAGGTTCTGGAAAAAATAAGTAAAATAAGCAGGTAAGGTACGTTCAATTTTAAGAGAGATCAGCCTCAGAATTTAGACTTAGAGTTGGGACCTATTCGGAGTTTAGGTGTGAAGAGTGATAGTGGAACTTGCTAAAGGAAAGTTAGCCTGGAGATTATCTGGTAAGAAATGAGCTTGAAATTAGCAAATGACTGGGTGTGGACTTCTGACAAATTCTTATAGCATCTTTTTCAGGTGATTATCCCTAATTACCTTCCTAGGGTTGGAGGAAGGTGGGTGTCTTTAGTTTGTTTTCTGTTGCCATACCTGAATGCCACTGACTGGGTAATTTATAAAGAACAGAGTTAACTAGGTAAGGTGGTTCATGCTTGTAATCCCAGCCCTCAGGAAAACAGATGCAGGAGGATCTCAAATTCAAGTCTGCTGTGGGCTACATAGTTTTTTTTGCCTCCAAAACAAAAAGAATAGAGGTTTATTTAGCTTAAGATTTTGGAAGCTAGGAAGAATAATATCAAGGTGCTGTCATCTACTGAGGGCCTTCTTGCTTCATCGTAACATGGAGGAGGGCATCACATGGAAAAGAGTAAGTAGGCCACAGAGAGCTAACTTTTATCAAGCCAGTCCCTTGATAATCCATTAATCCATGAATAGGCCTTTAGGAGATTCTTAAGATCCATCTAAACTATAGAGCCTTTATGACTTAATCATCTTCCAAAGTTCTCGCCTCTCAATTGCCATTAACATGGAACTTGGGGGAGTAAGTTGCCAACACATGGAATTTAGAGAGCACATTGAAATCATAGTATTGGGGGAACAATCCTTGAGAACTCAGCTCCTTGGATTTATTCCAACTCTTCTGGATAGCTCCACTTCTGCTTCATAGCTCTCCTCCATTCCCATCCCCAACCTACTTACCTACAGACCAAACTGGAAACCTCTCTAGATGGGGTACCTCCTCCAATAAGTGGGATTAATGAAAGAAGGCTGTAATTTGTTTTAACTCTAATTTGGGGGTAATCTGTAATCTCTCACCCTCAGTTGAGAGTGTGCCTTGTTGGATGTCTGCCATGTGCCAAGAAATATTTTGGGTGCTTACTTTGTAAAGATAAAAAAAAAGCCAGGGACTTATTAGATGAGAGTTTTACAGTTGTCCAAGAGTGAGATGAGTTGGACGTAGAGTGTTAACCCTGAAAAGATTAAA